TAGAGAGACAGAGAGAGAGCTCCCATCACTGGTTCACTTCCCAGATTGCCACCACCATCAGTTGGGACATTCCCATCTTTTTTTTAAAAGATTTATTTTTATTATTATTATTTTTTTATTGGAAAGGTGGATATACAGAGAGGAGAGACAGAGAGGAAGATCTTCCGTCCGATGATTCACTCCCCAAGTGAGCCCAACGGCCGATGCTATGCCGATCCGAAGCCAGGAGCCTCTTCCGGGTCTCCCACACGGGTGAAGGGTCCCAAAGCCTTGGGCTGTCCTCGACTGCTTTCCCAGGCCACAGGCAGGAAGCTGGAAGGGAAGCGGGGCTGCCGGGATAGAACCAGCGCCCATATGGGATCCTGGGCGTGCAAGGCGAGGACCTTAACCACTTGTGCCACCGCGCCAGGCCCAACATTCACATCTTTTAACGACAGCTATCTGGATCCCAGTCACCCATGCTGGAGACTCACACTCAATTCCAAGTTCCCTGGCTTCAATCTGGTCCAGCCCTGATTGTTGCAATCATCTGGGGAGTGAAACACTAGATAACAGGTCTCTACGTCTCTGCCTTACAAATAAAATAAAAAGCAAATTATTAAAACAAAAACAAGTAATTGGTAACAAAAGCTTTCTAATGAAAAACAGAAGGGTCTAGTCCCACCCTTCTCCAAGTTCTTCCCCAGACACCGTTTATTGTATAACATGTAGCATGGTAATGGGTGAACACAGCATCACTGAAATCATGTTGAACTGATCATAAACGCAATTAGCACTCCAGAAACATCTTTTATACTTGTTCCTTTAAAGGATCTAAAGCAACCAAGTTTGACTCTTAGTAGTTCTTCTAGCACTTACTCTTTGTTACAAATACTCTGTGTCACTGCTATTCCTTAATTTATGTATTTTTTAAAAATATTGATTTTTATTGGAAAGTCATATTTACAGAGAGAAGGAGAAACAGAGAGAAAGTTCTTTCATCCATTGGTTCACTCTCAAAGTGACTGCAATGGCTGGAGCTGAGCCGATCCAAAGCCAAGAGCCAGGAGCTTCTTCCCGGTCTCCCACATGGGTGCAGGGTCCCAAGGCTTTGGGCTGTCCTTGACTGCTTTCCCAGGCCGCAAGCAGAGAGCTGGAAGGGAATTGGAGCAGCCAGGATATGAACTGGTACTCATATGGGATCCCTGTGCATGCAAGGAAAGGACTTTAGCCACTAGGCTACTGCACTGGGTCCAATTTATATATATATATTTAAGACTTACTGTATTTATTTGAAAAGCAGAGTGTAAAAAAGGAGGAAAGAGAAGGAGAGAGAGCAAGAGAGAGAAATATCTTCCTTCCACTGGTTTGTTCTCCTAAATGCCCACAAACACAAAGCCAGGTCTGAGCCAGGCTGAGCCCAGGAGCTGGGAACTCCACCTGGTCTCCAAAGTACCTGGACCTGCATGAGCATCAACATCAGCAGAAAGCTAGATTAGAAGTGTAGAGCCAGACTCAAACACGCCCTCATATGGGTGCTATACGCATGGAGGCGTGACCCTCTGCACCACAACTGCTTCTTCTTGATTTCTGTTCTTACAGTCTTTTGTTTTACCTGGAGTTAATTAGTGCCTTGCTGTTTTCACTTGAACTTTTTGCTATTCGTGGTTTCTTATTTTTTTCCCCCATTAAGTGTTGTCCCTCAAAAAAAAAAGATTTAAAGGTCAGAGTTACAAGAAAAAGGGAGAGCAATCTAGCCCCTGGTTAACTCCCCAAATATCCATAATGGCCAGTACTGGGCAAGGCCAAAGTCAGGAGTCAGGAGGTTCATACGGGTCTCTCACATGGGTAGCAGGGTTCTAAAGACCTGGGCCAACTGCTGCTTCTCCAAGGCCATTAGCGTAGAGCAGGATGGGAAGTAGAGCAGCTGTGACATGAACTGTTGGTCCACTTGGGATGCTGGTTTACAGTCAGTGGTTTTACACTTTATACCAATATGCCCTTTTTACTTTTTAAACATTTGTTTCATTTCTATTTGCAGAGTTACAGAGAGAGAGAGAGAGAGATCTATCTTTTATCTACTGGTTTACTCCCCGAACAGCTACAATGGCTAGGGCTGGACTGGTTCAAAGCCAGGGGCTTCCTCGGGGTCTTCCATGTGGGTGCAGGGACTCAAGGTCTTGGAGCCATCCTCTGCTGTTTTCCCGGGCTATTAGCAAGGAGCTGTATAGGAAGGGCAGCAGCTGGGACTTGAACCAGTCCTATGTGGGATGCCGGTACAACCGTCAGATGCTTAGTCTAATATGTCACAGTGTGAGCCCAAGTTGTTCCTTTTTTAAAATTTGCTTGTCTGTTTGAAAGGCGGAATGGAGAGAGACAGAGAGAGGGGAATCTTTTGTTACTGGCTCACTCCCCAGATGGCCACAATAGCTGGGCTCAGCCAGACCAAAGCCAGGAACTCCACCTAGATCTCCCTTGGGGGTGTCAGGGACTCCGGTACTTGAACCATAATCTGCTGCCTTCCAGGCTGTTCAGCAGCAGTGAGCTGGGTCAGAGGCAGAGGCAGGACTCAAACCTAGGCACTCTGATGTGGGTGTCACAACCAGAGACTTAACCTCGTGAGCCACAACACTAGAGTTCTCTATTTTCTCCCTCAATATGGCTTGGTTTCTAGTCAGGTAACCTCCCAGAGGGGAACCCACTTCTGCCTGGGTCCCACACCTTAGTCTTCCTGCACCTATTCCTTGCTCTCTCTGTGTCACCGACAGCATCGTCATCGCCTATGTTAGGCTTTTCTTACATGCCTGGTGGAAGCTCCGGGTGTATGGCTGGATGGGATGGGATCAGGGCCACAGGTAGGCAATGGCTGCTTCCTCCTGCAGGATTGAGTGGCAGGATGCTGCTCCCTTCCCTCTGGACTTCCGGAGATTTTTCAGAGGAAAACATCACCAACCTTTTTGCTAAAAGGTGGCTACAGAGGGTTCCAAATTCAATCTCTCTGTCTATAGTTTCAAGTGGTAGCATGCCTCAGGGCTTATCCTCCTCCCAGGTCTCTAGCTTTTCAGTGTTGATTCCCTGGCCTTGACATTGGCCCTGCTGACTGAGGACCCTAAGCAAGCGGCTCAGTTGTGCTCACTCACCAGGTAGGACAGCTTAGAGCCAGGGTTTCGTGGTTTCCATGGGCTGAAGTGAAGTCGACCTCTTAATAATCGTGTGATCTCAGGCAATTAACTTCCATTTCCTGTCTGCCAGGGGTGGTGAAGAAATCAGACCTCACCCGGTTGAGAGAATTAAATCAGACAACCTGTGTCTGTCCCAGAGCCCTGTGCTAGGTGAGAAAACACTCCAACACTGAAAAGACTTAATGGCAGCCAAGATCATTATCAAAGTTGACTCTTAGTGGAGCAGTTGATTTATAGGGTTTATTTCTAGAGCAATTCAACTGCTTGATAATATCAACCAAATGAGTTTTTCAGATTAATGCAGAATGGAGTGTTTAATAGCCCAGGTAAGCAGGCACGCAGCCCTTCCAAGGAGCCTGAGGCCGTCTTCACCGCCTCTTCACTGCACACACATGCACACTGCTGGGATCAGAGGCTCTTGCTCTCTGCAGTTTCTAAGTCGTCTGTGGACCTGAATCCAACCTACAAACCTGCTCCAGGAATGCTTAGGACAGACATGAACCACAGCCCTGGGCTATTTCTTTAGCTTGGACTATTTTCTACAAACGTTCTTTTAACTTATTTAATTAATTATTTTCTGCAGGACAAGGTATTCTCTATCAGTGCCTCGCCTTTATTTACACAGTGGAATGGATGAGGTGATATTAGTGAAAATGTCAGAGTAAAGACTTCTGAAAACCTTTCTCATAAAAACAAAAGAGGGAGCCGGCATTGTGGCATAGTAGGCTAAGTCTCTACCTGTAGTGCTGGCATCCCAGATGGGCACTGGCTTAAGTCCTGGCTGTTTCACTTTCCCATCCAGCTCCCTGCTCGTGGACTAGGAAAGCATCACAGAGGATGGTTCAAGGTCTTGGACCCCTGCACCTGCCTGGGAGACACAGAGGAGGCTCTGGCTCCAGATCTGACCAGCTCCAACTAGTGTAACTATTTGGGGAGTTAACCAGTGGATGGAAGGTCTTTTTGTCTTACTTTTTCTCTCTGTAACTCTTTCAAATAAAAATAAAATAAATCTTAAAATTAGGAAAAAGCAAAAGACAGCATGGCATCAATATCAGAATCAATGACCTTATACTCGTTCATATTAGGCTGCTTGATTTGAGCAGGTAAATATTTTCAGTGGAGTCACTGTTTACTAACAGTGAACAAATCAGTAGCAGCTCACAGCATTCACTGACAGCAAGCATGTCAAAGGAAATGCAGCGCATCGACCTGTGGGGCGGAGTGGGGTGGGAGGGACTGGACTGCTTGTGGGGAAGCCAATGAAGACATGCCTTTATCCCCATTCCTTTCCTGTCAAACAACAAAAAAGTAGTCAAACTGTCTCCCCCACATCCCATCTGCACACACAGAAAGAACCAAGAAAAGAGCCAACAGCCAGGGCAAGAGGACGATGTGTTTTCGGAAGATGCAGGGCCGAGTGGAGAAAAGGTGATTGACAGCTGGGCAGAGCGGTGGACGGAGTTACTCTCCAGAGCCGGGCAAGAACTCCGGCCTTTGTGGAATCGGGCATGGTTAGCTGGGGTGGCGGTGGGTTTCAATCTTTCAACCCCGGGTCCCCGCCCCAGCTCACCCACCGCTTTTCCCACATCTCTGTGGGTGATTGGCAGACGAAAGATCTGGATTGAGGAGGCAGTGACGGCTGCAGCCTGTGCTGGAAATAGGAATTGAGCGAACTTTGACGCAGCGTGGTGAGACCCCCGACCCCTCAACCAAGTGCCTTCTCCTGCCTCACTCATTCACTGTTTACCCACTATGACGAGGAAAATGCTCTGTATGAAGGAATCGCTGTACATTTTAAACAGCAAATCCGTCGGGATTGAACTGTTACACTGTACTCACAGGTACGAAGCAGCCCGTTGGAAATCTTCGAACCGTAGAACGAAATATGAAGCTCCTGTACAAAAAAAAAAAAAAAGATGTTTTAAAAAGACCTCTGTTTACTTTTTCTGTCTTCATTAAATATTTTTAAATGCTCATCTTAATATGAGGTATGTACATAGGCTTAAGAGTCACGTGTGATCTGTGAGTATGTCAACAAAAGGGATGAGTGAAAGGAGGAAATTAAGGTGGAAATTAATTAAGGTGGAAATTACCTGGAAGGGTACTTGGGAACTGGTGCAGGAAGCACCTCGTACTGCCCTGGGCAAAGCCGAAGAGCCTACGTGGAATGAACGAGGACATCAATAAAGGGTTAATATGGGCTATAAACTCATTACCTGTCATTCATAATCTCTTGTTTCATGACCAGATGTCATTAAACACATTTATACACATTTTCAAAGGGGCCGCTTCAAAACATCCCACATCTATCATTTGCTTTTCCTGGTGGTTTTTATAGGCAGCCTGCCTGAGATGCTGTATTTCAGATGTCCTAGATCCCACAATTCAAGCCACACATCCAGGGAGCCCGCGCTGGGATAAGTTGGAGCCAGGGCTGGGGGGCACAGCAGGAAGAGACTTGTGGTTCCTGACCAGCAGGAGGGAGATGGGTTCCGAAAACCCCAAATACTGGAGCCCCCGTTAGGGTATTGAAGATTTCTCTGCACACTCCTCCTAAAACTGTTCTGCACCTAAACTGTTGACATATAAGCCAGTCTAGACTACCTGAAAAAAAAGCCCAGGTTCAGCAAAGTTATGCTTCAATGCTATAAAATGCTAAATATTATAATGAAAATAGACACAAGACAGCTGAACAGTAATCTAAAGCCATTTTAAGATGTATAGAACCCGGTTGTATATAAACTAAAATAGAAATGTCAATGAAGTAGTCACAGGATATGGTTAAGAACTTGCATTTTTTTTTTAACATATTGGTTACTCAATACTATGTCAATTAATTCCATAACGTTGTAAATTGTTGCTGATGTTATGTTGGGCCTTTTAATTGATTGGGATGACACTCTGCCAGCTCTACCTTCAGACCAGAGATGGTCTCCCCAAGAAGCAGTTGAACTTATCTGGACAATAAGAGGCTGGACTCTATGCTTGGTATACACTTGCAATGAAAGAATCCCAACTGAACTTGAACTGTGGTTACGCAACAAGGTGGAAGAATCCACCAAGGGGGGGAGGGTTACGGGAGGGGTGGGGTGAATCCCAATACCTATAAAACAGTGTCACATAATATAATGTAATTAATAAATTAAAAAAACAAAAGACGAAAGGAAGGCAGAGAGGGAGGACCTAAACACACTGGAGTGGCCAGGCAGGAGGTAAGGATGGCAGGCTTGTAAGGAAGACAGGGCTTTGTGGAGAAGCACCAGGGAAGGTGTTCCGTGGGGGATGACACTTCCCCGTCCCTGCCCAAGGTCGCATCTGAAAATGCCCCTCTGGCCGACGCCTTGTGGCTAGCTCTAGAGATGTTCAGCTCAGAGGTGAAAGAACCAAGGAGGGTTGGGAACTAGTGGGACAGGCAGTAGGAGCCAGGCAGGAAGGAAGGAACGAAGCAGTGAGGGAGGGACTGAGAAGGAGAATTAACAGGGCAACCAGAGCATTCTATGCTGAAGGAGCTGGGGCAGGGAAGTGTTAGATTATAAAACCCCAGAAAGAAAACCTCCCGGAAGCGAGCGGTCTCCTTTTGCGTCCTGTTATTTTCATAACCCATTTTAGGAAACAGTACCGCCTTTGTTGAAAATGAGGCATCCTTATCCTGCAGTTACCACCGCGTGGAAGCTCATCTACTAGAGTTCCCCCTACAGCTGTCCCACGAGTCTACCGCTGAGATCATGCAGAAAGCTTTTTCTGTGGGTGTGGCCATGCTGACAGTAACCTCAAATATATGATGAAATACGCATGTCCTCCTAATGCACCTGTGCCTTGTTAATTGCATGACAGGATACAGAAGTATTCTTGTGCTACAATGCAGAAGCACAAACCCTATCTCAAACAGGGGACTTCCTTGGGGGGCCAGCAACATTGAACTTGCAAGTCTGGCAATGTTTACATGAATTTACTTTCAACTGTGCATGTAAGAGTTATCCTCTCTCTCCATGTACATACATGTACACAAGAAGAGGGGGAAAAAATCTTAAAGCAGCTGTTTTCTCATAGAAACTCAGCAATCGACCTAAGATTTCTGTAATGAAGCATTCATGGACAAAGACAGCCTCAGTCGAGAAGGGCACATTGCTCCCACAGCATCTTGGGTATTTAACCATTATGTCTGGCACCATTCAGTCTTTGCTATTTAACTTAGCTGAGAGAGGGCTTTTTATTTTCCAATAAAGCCTTAAGTAGTCAGCTCCCTCTCATCAGGGACTGCATTTCTGAACATTGCTAAACTGGCTGTGGGGGTGGTTCTAGGGTCCCCGGGTCCTTGAATCTGCACACACACACACACACACACACAATTCTTCTGTAATTCCCACATATGCTTTTTAGCTCTTCCTTGGGTGTAATGTAAGGCTCAGAGAATATACAATGCACCTTAAAAAATATTCTAGCAACTGTTTCAAACTATGCCAATTAGACTCTCAGAAATCCTGTAGTAGCTTGAAGACATAAAATATGGCAGGATGGGCATCGATGCTGTGACTTAACAGGTGAAACCAGGGCCTGTGGTACTAGTGCTCCCCAGGGCACAGGTTTGAGTTCCACCTGCTCCACTTCTGATCAGCTCCCCACTAATGGGAGTGAAAAAAGCAGTGGAGGACGGCTCAAGTCCCCGGGTCCCTGCACCCATGTGAGAGATCAGGAAGAAGCTCCTGGTTCCCAGCTTCAGACCAGTCCAGTTCTGGCCAGGGTGGCCATAGGGGAGTAAACCAGTAGTTGTAAAATCTGTCTCTCTTTCTCTCTGTAACTCTTTCAGGTAAAATAAATAAATCTTTTATTTATTTATTGTTTAAAAAAAGATTTATTTTTTTTTATTGGAAAGTCAGATATATGGAGAGGAGGAGAGACAGAGAGGAAGATCTTCCATCCAATGATTCACTCCCCAAGTGACCACAACAGCCAGAGCTGAGCCGATCCGATCCGAAGCTAGGAGCCAGGAACTTCTTCAAGGATACAGGGTCCCAAGGCCTTGGGCCATCCTTGACTGCTTTTCCAGGCCACAAGCAGGGAGCTGGATGGGAAGTGGGGCTGCCGGGATTAGAACCAGAACCCATATGGGATCCCAGGGCACTCAAGGAGAGGACTTTAACTACTAGGCCCTAAATAAATCTTTTTTAAAAATCCTTCCAAACTATCTCCCAAAGAGGCTGTATCACTGAGCCTGTGTGGCAGTGAACACGCACTCCTGCCAGCCTCAGCTTTGACAGTGTTCTGGGTTTTGTTCATTCTGACAGTAGTGTAGTGGCATTTTACAATCATTCTTTTTGGATTTCTCTGATGATAAATGATGTGGAATATTTTCCATATGTTTGTTTTCCATCTGTATGTCTTCTTTGATGAGGTGTCTGCTAAGCTGTTTGGTCTACATAGGTATTCATGTTGAATTGCAAAAGTTCTTGGTTTATTTTGGATAGTAATCCATCTTCTGCCTATCCAACTTACTCTCAGCCCTTCTTGCCTTTCCAGCCTCCTCCCAGTGTCTCTTTGCAGAACGGGCGTTTTGAAATTCATGAAGTTCATTGTGTTGAAGTAAGTAAATGAAACTTTTTTGTAAGTAAGAAAGTTTCTTGCAGACACTATTTGTTTGGGTCTTGAATCTTGGGCCACTTTAACAATTTTATCTTTTGATGGTTGCCCCTACATCACTGATGGTCAAAGTGATTTTTTTCAGTTGCATCGATAGTAGCCATATTCATAACTGTTTTAACGGTTAGCTGCTCCTCTTTCTTCCTTTTTATTTTCTTTTCCATCCCTTTTTCCAGATTTTGTGGGTTTAACTAGATTTTATATTATTCTATTTTCTCTCCTTTCTTAATACAGCAGTTTTGGTTTGCTACTTTTAATCAAAAAAAATTTTTTTTTCCAGTGGTTGTTCCAGAGATTACAATACATATTTACATATAATCCAAGTTACCTTCAAATAACATTCTACCACCTTACAGGTAATTGAGTACCTTGTTATAACCAAGTGATCCTCATTCCTGCCTCCTACATTTGGTGGCATGGCTACCACTCATTGTATCTACATATAAGCATATGTGAGCACACACAAAGTATAGACATAAGCATACACAATACGATACACAACACGATACTTTGCTGTTAATATTTTTAAAGAAATCAACATTTAGATTTACATCAGCTGGAATTTTTTTTTTTTCATAGGGGCAAGCATTTGGCCCAGCAGTTAAAACGCTTAGTAAGATGTGTTCATCTCACACTGCAGTGTCTGGATACGAGTCCAGTTCCGCTCCTCATTCCAGCTTCCTGCTATTCAGGCAACCTCTGGGGAGCAGCAGGTTAGGGTCAGGTTGGGTGCCTAGTATCAATTGACATCCAGACTTCATCTTGGCCCAGTCCCAGCTGGTACTGGCATTTGGGGCGTGAACCAGCAAATACAAGATCTTTGACTCTCTGGCTTTAAACCAGATTTTGAGAATAGAAGGATAAAAACAACACTTTCATTTCACTTTCACTTATTTCTTTTTCAAACTCTGCATTTCTTCACTGTAGATCCAAGTTTTGACTTTCATCACTTTCTTCCCTCCTGAAGAATTTCTTCTGACATTTCTTACAAAACAGGTCTGTCTACTGGCAACAAATCTCAATTTCTGTTTGCCTAAGCAACTTCCCTTTCACTTCCACAGACTAATTTCACAGAATTCTAGTGTCAGAGACAGGAGCTGGTTAGTCCAGCTGAGGTAGTAAGACACGAAAGGGCCTACGTGTAAATAGACAGGTCTGCCGCAGGCAAGCTAGGGGGACTGGAAATGAACAAGATGGCAGGAATGAGAGATAAGGAGCTGGGAGAACAAAGAGAGGGGAGGAAGGAGAGACAAGCAAACGGGATGCGATCACAGCTAGGTGGGAGCACATCTGGAGATGTAGAACTCCCCCTTTGCCCCTGAGTTCCCAGAGCCCTTGCTTGGAGGGGCTCACCGATGAGGAGACCCCCCTGTCACAGGGCTGTGGGAGCCCTTCTTTTGTTTCAATACATTTCACCTGCCTTCCCTTGCCCGAGTCTTCAGTGCTCACCATGATGCACCCCCACCAGCCCTGCTTCTGTGCCCTGTGCTGCTTTGGGATTTTACTTTTGTCTTTGACTTT